TGAGAATTTCGGCTACGGGCCTGCTCAGAGGTATTTTTACCACTAAATCTCTGGAATGTACTTGTTGGATTTTTAAACAAGTGAATAGTCTGTGTGAGCCCCTAAAATGGCTGAAATGCTGCAACAAATAATGACAGAACCACAAAGATAAACATAGTGGTCTACACTTTTGGCACATGTATGTGTGTGTGGGGTGTTTGTGTAGGAAAAGTGCCCCCTTGTGGGAAAACACTGTTAGACACTGAATGTTATGTCTGGAAAATGCCAGGCAACTTCAAGAGCCAGAAGAAAAGATTCTCTGGAGGGTGAAATGAATCACAGAATTATTTAGAATTGCAAAAACCCAGGAAATCACAGAATTGCAGATTTGGAAGACACTCCCAGGAGCCACCCAATGGAACCCACAGCTCTTACCATCACGATCCTCCTCTTAATGTTTTCCTACCATTTGAATGGTCTTTGCTCCATTGGAACCTAGTCTAGAACATCACAAAACCAGTTTGCCTCACACCTCAATGTGACACCCTTCAAAATATTTCCACATGACTAGACCAGAGAGGTAAAGAGGCAGAAAAGGAATATCGAGCTAGTCTAAATGGATCCGGTCTCTAGGACTGGATGAATTACATCCTAAAGTATTAAAATTTATTATTTATTTATTTAATGTATTTCCGTTCCTCCCTTCTCACCCCGCAGGGGACTCAGAACAGATCACAATGCACATATACATGGCAAACATTCAATGCCATAGACACACAACGTATATAGAGAGACACACAGAGGCTATTTAACTTTCCAGCTTCATGAGATTATGATTCGAATTGCGGCCACCAGGGGAGCTGTTGCTTCACCATCCACTTGTGACACCAATTGAGTACTTCCTCATTCTTTTGCACTGCTGGAGAGTTTTATGGCGTTGTAAATTAGTTAAATTGGCCTCCCCACATAAGCAGTACTTAAATTTCCTATTTGATGGATGCAACTGTCTTTCGTGCTGCAAAGGTTGACAGCAAGCTAGACAAATGGTCGGGAGCTTACTCCGACCCAGGCT